GGCCTGAAGCCAAGCCAGCGGGTCCGGAGAGCCGCAGGGCTCCCTTTGTTCTTTCCTCCCGGCGTGACGAAGCCACTTCTCTTGAGCTGAGGCATGAGAAGCAAAGCAGCAATGAAAGCTTTAGGAGTCACTGTGGCCTCATGAGCCAAGTGCCACCAGCACTCAGCTGTGCTGTGTGTCATCAAACCTATCCCCTCTGCAGTGAGAACGATGCCATCACCGTGAGGGCTGTGACCCTTCCCGTCACTCACCTCCCTGCAGAGGCCAGATCATCCCGGCCAGGCGGTCATCTGCCCCTGCACCCACTCTGTACTCCGTGCATCACGACGGTCTTGTGACAACAGAAGACTTGGTGGCTCACGTTACTTTGGGAACAGTCCCTGATCGCAGATAAGCTTCTGGCGCATAATGGGCAACAAGAGGCAGAACGTGGATGAAGTCCGGGGCAGGGAGGCAAACCCGTCCAGAGGGAAGTTTGCAGTGAGCCGACGTCCATCACTTAGCCTCCAGAGCTGGCCTCCACCTCCGGGGAAATGCTCCGGCACAGCTTCGCTTTGTACACTGATGAGGAGGGTGGGCTGTGCCCTTGTCATCCACAACTGTTGTGTTGTGTGCAGACTAAGAACCTCTGGTCTTCACTAGATGGATGTTTATTACTCTCAATGAAGATTCTTCCTTTTTTTTTTTTTTTTTTGGTACCAGGAATTGAACCCAGGGGCACTTAACCACTGAGCCACATCCCCAGCCCCTTTTTATATTTTATTTTGAGACAGGGTCTCACTAAGTTGCTGAGGGTCTTGCTAAGTTGCTGAGGCTGGCTTTGAATTTGCAATCCTCCTGCTTCAGCCTCCTAAGCCTCTGGGATTACAAGCGAGTGTCATTGCACCTGGCTGATTTCTACCTTTTCAAATTCTATTTTTCTTGATACCCCTTGCCTTCCAAAACAGGGCTCAAAGTCCAAAGGTAAGGAGCAAGTACACACTATTTATTTTTTTTTAACTTGGAGCCCTGTCTCGCTCATCTTTAAAGGGCCTTGAACTTGCCTTGTAGGCACTGTAGAACCAAGGAGTGGACCCCGACACACCACCCAAGCCAGCTGGAGACATTCTGTGAATGTGCCTCTGATGAGATGTGGACTCATTTTCCCCATCCCATCCTTGTTCCCATTCCACGAAGAGAGAGTTCATTCAGCAAATAAGTTTAGAACACATTGGATGGTAACCGCTCCCTTGAAGAACCAGAGTGTGTATTGGCAAGTTCAAGGCTCTTGAATGTTCTGTAGCAAGTCAGTTTTGACCCAGGATTGCCCACACATTCCATAGAACTCATGTTTTTATGTGTGGTTTTTCCTGGAGCTCATTGGTAGGGATTATGACCCTGATGCTGGTTTAGTCTGTTTGTAAAGGACAGAGATCTTAGCAGGAAGCCTTACAGAGAAATCGCCATGGCCTTGAAAGTGACTTCCTCAAAGACCCAGAGAAGCTGCACTTCACAAAACAATTCCTTGACTCTGCCTCCTCCTGAGCTGGCAGTGGCTGCCAGGGCAGCTGAGAGGCACCTGCGTGTCGGCACCTGCCCACACCTCCTTCATTCCTCGTCTCCTCTCCCAGCCAGAAGAGGCAGAGCATTTGAGCTGGCGGTAAGGCATGAGTCACGGGCCAGGTTCTCATGAGACGGGCCACTTCAGGGATTCATCAAGGGTGGTCCACTTTGCCAGGAGATTGCCAGGAGGTGATCTCCATAAACAAGTCCAGCCAGCTTCCTGGTTTGGGACACTGACAGCTTGGTAATTTTCTCCACTGCAGGAAGACTTGAAAGATACCCAGGGTCAGCCTGGAAGAGGGCATTCTGTTTACAGCGAGAAAGACCCAAGAAAAGCACCATGTTACCCACAGTCGAGGATACCAATGACTACCATTGATTGTTTGCAGCATGCCAGGCTCTGGAGTATTTACCTACAGGAACTCATTTAACTCAAGAAAGATGGTATTCTCCGTTTTCAGCCAAGAAAACAGAAGCTCAGAGACATTGAGTAACCCACCCAGAGTCACAGAGCTTGGCACAGGCAGAGCTGGTGTAGAACCCAGGTGTGACTGACTCCAAAGCCAGAGCTTCCCTGAACCCACTGCTTTTGCCAGAGACCTTCAACCCTCTTCCCAACACAGTGTCTCTTATTCAGGCTCCACAGTGTGGCCCCTCAGCAGGAAGAAGTAAGAACAGATACAATCTGGGCACAGTGTTGGCTCCCGCCTGTAATTCCAGCAGCTTGGGAGGCTGAGGCTGGAGGATGGCAGGTTCAAGACCAGTCTTGGCAACTTAGCAAGACCTTGTCTCAAAATAAAAAATGGAGTGGGGAAATAGCTCAGCGGCAGAGCAACCCTGGGCTCAATCTCTAGTACTGCAAATAAAATAAAAGGACATATTTCAGAGAGGAAGATGTGGGGGTTTGGGGCTGGTGCCTGAGAGACTGCTTGCAGCCCTTTTGAACAAGTCACCTTGGTGATCATTGTGTGACAGCAACTTTTAGAATCTGATGGTTCTTTATGTGTTGAGCATTACTGTTCTTTGAGACTATAAAATGGGCCATATTCTTAAATCCAGTTATGAGTCACAGAGCATTCTCTCAGAACCTGGGGATAATAAAGCCTTTGGATAACTGTGAACAAATCACTGCAGTCACCCTGCCTAACTTTAATGCCACCCACAAGAAAAAAAGACATTGTCTTGCCAAAGGTGGACTATTACTATCCTGACCTGCAAAGTTCCTTATGTCTTCTTTTATATGGAAGTGAAATTGTAATCCAATGTCATATTTTAAATTCAATTCCAGTACCTGAAAAGGCTCTCAGATTTCTACAGCCTGGGGATATGATCTTTATGTTGGTAAAAAAAAAAAAAAAAAAAAAAAAATGGAGGCTCTTTAAATGAGAAATACGAAGTTGGTCCACTGCACGTGCCCCACCACCAGACCACCTATGCCAGGGAAACAGCCCTACTTTATGTGACCCGCACCCTGATGGTACGGAAATGTTAGCTCTTTCATAATCCAATCTGAAATGGGTTTCTCGGACAACTTTCAAAAATCAGAATGGAAATAAACTCTTGGGGTTATGGATACGGGAGTATCTTTCTTTACATACTTGGCATGAAAACAGTCGTGCACACCTGTAATCGCAACAGTTTGGGAGGCTGAGGCAGGAGGATGGCAAATTCAAAGCCAGCCTCAACAACTTAGCAAGATTCTATGTCAAAATAAAATATTAAAAAAAAAAAAAGGCTGGGAATGTGGCTGAGAGGCCCTGAGTTCAATCCCTGGTACCAAAAAAAAAAAAACCCAGTAGGGATGAATTACATGCATTTACTATAGCGGGGATCTAGAACCAACCTCTTATGGACACAAAGGATGTGAATTTATATTTATGAATTTTCCAAAAGGATGATTTGGTTTTTGTTATGATTTCTGTTCTTCTGGGCATTTAATTGTTTCCCAATTGTGCATCGTGCTTTTCCTCTTATTTTGAAAGAATTCCTCATGTTGATGTATTGTATTTGAGTCTTTATAGGAAAAAAAAAAAAAAACCCCACAGCCAGAAACAGGCCCAGGGTTCCTTATCCTCCTTGAACTTTGAGGAGCTCTTAGGCAATAAACTGTGGCGTAGTCGTGCTATTTATTTCTCGGAGGTAGACCTGAGTCACGGCACGGCTCCGGGATGTGGACCCTGGAATTTCTCTACCTAATGATTTCTCTACCCCCAAATTAAAACAGAATGACAAAGTGAGCCATCATCAAAACTGGTCTGCCATAAAAAAAATTGCTTTATTTCTAAAAAAGATATTGTCAGAATGTATCTCCCAATTGAATTATTCCTTTGTGTACTTAATTAACCACAATAGCAAAAAGTACGGCCAATCTTGCAGGTTCCCAGTCAAGAAGAGTAGAAAACCCCACATTTTTGAAGGTCACATTTTCTTCTTTCATCCCTTTTCTTTCTTTCTTTTTTTTGGGGATTTAACACAGGGATGCTTTACCTTTTGCGCTACATCCTCAGCATTTTTTTTAAATTTAAATTTAAATTTTTGTAGTTATAGATAGACACAATACATTTATTTTATTATTTTCTTATAAGGTGCTGAGGATTTAACCCAGTGCCTCACACATGCTAGGCAAGCGCTCTGCCACAGAGTCCTAGCCCCAGCCCTTTAATTTTTATTTTGGACAGGGTCTTGCTAAATTGCTTAGGGCCTCCCTAAATTGCTGAGGTTGACCTCAAACTTGCCATCCTCCTGCTTCAGCCTCCTGAACCTCTGGGATTACAGGCGTGTACAACTACGCCTGGCTGTCTGGGGCATTCTGAACCCTGATGGTCACTTCCTGTTTAGATTGAGAAATGATCCCTGATAGCAACCCAGGGGCTGCTTGGTCACACCCTGTCTGTAAGGGCTGAGCTGGCTGTGTCCTACACCATCTCTAGAATGACGGGCAGGAGACTGACTGACCAGGAATAAAGTTCCTTCCAAACTCTGCCTCTGCTGTTTATTGATGATGGATGGTACCTGTACCCCATGAGACTGACATTTCTCTCCCCTCTCCAAACTAATATTCTCAAAATTCAGAGCTTCATCCATGTTCCAGGGCTTGCTCTCAGCCTTCACAACCTTACAGTTTTCATTCAAGAGCCAGCCCCCACCAGCAGAATCGTTTTCCTGCATCAGTGAACATCCTGATCTTGGAGGTTGGGAAACAAAGGGGAAAGTGTCATGTAAACATACTTTTTTCCCCCCTGTGTTTTAATGGCTCAGGGTCACATAACAGTGACTTTTAAAAACAACATAAACAAACGTAAAACAAGGGGCTGGGGCTGGGACTTAGTGGTGGAGCACTCACCTAGCATGCACGAGGCACTGGGTTTGATCCTCAGCACCACATAAATGTAAAATAAAGATATTGTGTCCACCTAAAACTAAATAAATAAATATTAAAAAATAAACGTAAAACAAGGTTTTGAAGATTAAACCAATTGTGTATTTGTCACACTGAGAGCAAAGAAGAGTAGCATTGGTATCGTATCCTCTTGTACATAGATTTTAGTCCATATTCTTAAAATTTCAAAACTCTGGACCCTGCTTGGGCAGTTACTAGGTTTGCAGTGTCAAGGGATGGCGTGACTCTGAATTGTGCTATGGGGGATCCTGCAGGGGGGTCTCAAGGACTTCACCTTGCTCTTGCCTTCTGAAGATAGTGCTACATGCTTTGTCCTTTCTGGAAGCTTCTTTAAGGACCACCTTAAGTGCCTCACCCTCCTGATCCTAGTTTGCAAAGCCTGGTGTTGCTGCCAGCCCCACCCCACGTCCCTGCCTGTGTTTGGGTTCACTCCACCACTGTGTCCTGAGTGGGGAAGGAATGCTGTGGAGTGGAGATGTGGCCACTGTCCCCGGGACATGGGTGGGATGGCCTCCCACAGAAGGAACCCCGTGCAGCTGGTGCCTCCAATTTCATTTCCTTTTTTTTCTCTATCCCCAGAAGGAGCTCTCTGAAGAAGTCGGCCAGAATGGCAGCCAGGCTCAGATCCCTGTTCAAGTCCACAACGCCACCTGCACCGTGAGGATCGCAGCCATCACTAAAGGGGGAGTCGGGCCTTTCAGCGACCCAGTGGAAATATCTGTCCCTGCGTACGGTGAGAGCAGGGCCCCTCTTGCCCAATGGGATGTAGTGGTCCTGGTGGTGCACATACTGCTATACTGACCTATGGGATGGCACCCGGTTAAAAACCCAAGATGAGAACCAAAAAGCATGTTCATGCCGGGTGCAGTGGCGCACGCCTGTAATCCCAGAAGATCAGGAGGCTGAGGCAGGAGGATCCCAAGTTCAAAGCCAGTCTCAGCAACTCAGTGAAACCCTGTCTCAAAATAAAAAATAAAAAGGGCTGGGGATATAGCTCAGTGGTTAAGTGCCCTGGGATCAATCCCTGGTACCAAAATAATAATAATAATAATAATAAGAAGAAGAAGAAGAAGAAGAAGAAGAAGAAGAAGAAGAAGAAGAAGAAGAAGTAGTAGTAGTAGTAGTACAAGGATCAGGGTCCTCAGTATGGTGACACTCTTCACAGAATCCCCACACCACCAGGTCCTCCTGCCATTTCTACCAACAGTAATAACTTACTAGGAAGGTTCATCCTTTCTGAATACCAAATATGACTTGACTTACTTGTTGAAGGTGGTTAGAAGAGGCACATGTGCTTGAGCTGGACAGGCCGTGTGGCTGAGTCTTCTATTATGTGCATTTGCGGGCGTTGGCTTTGCTGTTCTAAGCAGCGCTCTCCGCCTCGTGGGTAGCGTGCTTTGGGATCTGCTCTGCACAGAACACCTCCTCTTTCCTACAGAAGCCATCTTCTGACTGCCCTGGGCTGACTGAGCTAAATGCCCAACCACGCGTGCTGGCTTTTGCGGGTTGCTGGAATGTTCCTTGGCAAGGTGCCACCGTGGTGCCCCAAGCAGCCAAAGTGCTGGACTGGCTTCCTCAGACCAGTAGAGCCACCTTTGTTCTAACTCTGACGGGCTCTGGGCTGTCTGATGGTAAACCACGGTCATGAAATCCATGCGCAGGCATCTGTATCCCAGTGAGTTACAGATTTACAACTCTTGCCAAGCCTGGCCTTGTATCCAGTAGCAGGACTTGAGAGCACATAATTGAGCTCCTGTCTATTCCCAGTGACCCTCAAACAGGCTCTCTCCCTTTGAGTGGTGAATTGAACCATATTACATTCCTGCAGCCCGAGGCCTCAGTACCTGGGAACATCAGTTATGGGTGATGGGAAAACAAAGGTGTATCTACTCCTACAGATTCAAAGACAATGAGAGATCCTCACGCTAAAGGCACAGCTTAAAACAGCTTATTTAAGACCACAGAACTTTCGTCTCATACATAATAAACTATGATCTATTTAAAAAATTTGCTTCGCTCTGCACAGCTCCGGCATACATAAATGTCAGTTATCGCAGCTTAAATTATACCATTTGCCCAACAGCGGCCAAGTTTTAGCTGCCCTCTTGTATGGACTGTAATTGCATCAAGCATGAACTCAGCCGCTGGCTGTGCAGTCCTCAAGTCTCCTTATGAATAACAGACGTGCAGATGATTGCGACCAATCAGATGGCTCCTTTCAAACTCAGTCGCTGATTGGCCACTGCGCAACCATTGTTTGGTTCTCTGGTGTCCTTAGAAGGCGCGCTTCCTGCAAAGGGAAGGCAGTGGCTGGATTGCCTCAAGCCTCCCAGTGACAGGCACACCTGATTCTGCAAAACTAGAGGATTCAGGGATGAAAGTACACAAAGAAAGAGAAGCGATAACGTTGGGAGTGAACTGAGCGTTGAGGGTCAGCAGAGCAGCAGTCTCTGCCGTTGTTTGGAGGCTCACTGTGCAGCCTGAGGAATTTAACGAGGTCAGCTGATTAACATAAATGCAGTGGTGGTGAGGAAAAGGCTGAAATGTTCCAAAGAAAGTGACACCAGCAAAAAAGAGACAAACAAAAACCCCTGCACATTCTGGACTGGGATGTCGATCAATGGCAGAGCGCTTGCCTAGCACATGGCCTGGGTAATTCCACTGGCGTGGGGGGCTCAGGGGGTGTGAAGAAAAGAAATCTTCATATTAAAATAATTCTCAAAGTGACTTTGCAAAATTGAAATCACAAAAAATAGAACATTGGAAGTTGATCCAAACTTGGAAAGGCATATGACAATTCTCCAAAAGATGCAAAATGTGTTTTCTCTGTATTGTAAGTTACATCACCAGAGCAGATGAACCCTGTTCAAACTACTCATGGTAAGAACTTTTGCTTTGTTTTGTTGTGGTACTGGTATTGAATCCAATTGGACCACTACCTCTGAGCTACAACCGCAGCCCTTTTTATTTTAAGACAGGGTCTTTCTAAGCTGTCAAGGCTGGCCTTGAACTTGTGCTGCTTCTGCCTTAGCTTCCTGAGTAGCTAGTATTACAGCCTCAGCAACCTAGGAAGGCCCTAAGCAACTTAGCAGGACCCTGTCTCAAAATAAAAAAACAGGAAGAGCCAGGGATGTGGCTGAGCACCCCTGGATTCAATCCCCATTACCCAAAACAAAACACCCCAAATGGTCTCAGATTATACCAGTGGGGGCTGCCTGCATCTGTAGAAGACTGAAGGTGAGCCCAGTTCTAAACGCTCTTGACTGTTTGTCCTTCCCTATTACAGGCCGTACTTCTTAGGTATTTAGGATCCCAGAGAATCACTTTGCCTTGACCTTTCTGGTGTTTTTCCAGGTGAAGTGGATTATGCCCCCTCATCAACTCCGGCGCCTGGCAACACAGAGCCCCTGCTGGTCATTCTCGGCTGCTTCTGTGGATTTATGTTGATTGGGCTGGTTTTATATATTTCTATGGCCATCAGAAAAAGACTCCAGGAGACAAGGTTTGGGTAAGTTTCCCAGTGAAAATTTGTGGCCCAGTGATATTGATGAGGTTGTTGGGCCAGGCCTTGGTGCTGGTCCTGCTGGCCCTGCTCTTCAGGCTGCCCAGGATGGGTGCCCTGTCTTATGCAGCTTGGAGCAGACAGCTTCCTTACCCAGGCCAGTTCCTACCTACCATGGCAGCCAACAGCAGAGCCAGCCTGGTGAAGGGCTGTACAGAGAAACCCTCCAAAAGCCTTCACCACTTAAACTGGGTAGCTGTTACATGACGACCTGTATCAGTAGCCTTAAAAGTGACCCTGTTTTTTGTTTGTTTGTTTTTTTTTTAAATGAGCATCCCTGCTCTGCAAATCCAAAATCTGACATGCTCCAAAGTCTAAAACTTTCTAAGCACCCAAATGATGCTGCTCTGTGAAGCTTCATTTCATGTACAAAATTATCACAGATATATAAAATTATTTTCAGGCTGTGTGTATAAGGCATGTATGAAATATAAATTAATTTCCTGTTGAACGTGTGTCCCATTCCCGTGATATCTCATTATGTATAAGTAAATACTCCAGAGTTTGAAAAAGAAAAAACTGAAATTTGTAATACTTCTGGTTCCAGTTGGTCATTTTCAGATAAGGGATACTCAACTTGTATAAGTAGATAAAAATATAGGGGGGGGGGGGAATTCACCAAAGCTGGTATCATTGTGGGTAGCTGGGCCCCTCCCTCCCTTCCTTCCTTCCTTCCTTCCTTTCTTCCTTCCTTTCTTTTCTCTTTTCCTTCTTTCTTTTTTTCCTTCTTTTAATGTATTTTGTTTATTTTCTGTAGCAATTAGTTGTTTTTCCAAGTAGACAAGACTTGAATATGTGGAGAGAAATGTACCATGTTCATGGATAGGAAGACTCCATATTGTCAAGAAGCCAGGCCTGGTGGTGCACACCTGTAATCCCAGAGGCTTGAGAGGCTGAGGCAGGATTGTGAGTTCAAAGCCAGCCTCAGCAAAAGCGAGGCACTAAGCAACTCAGCAAGACCCTGTCTCTAAATAAAATACAAAATAGGGCTGGGGATGTGGCTCAGTGGTTAAGCACCCCTGAGTTCAGTCCCCAGTAAAAGAAAGAAAGGAAGAAAGAGAGAAAGAATATTGTCAGGAGCTTGGTTCTCCCCAAAGTAACCATAAATTTAATATAAACACCATCAAAATTGGTGCTGGGTTGTTGATAAAATTGACAAGCCAATTTGAAAATTCCTCTGGAAAAGTAAATCTGCAATTTTGAAAAACACAGAATTTTGATGGAGGGTGCTGGTCCTCATTAACATAAAAATATGCCTAGTGAACAGCAAGGTATTGGTGCAAGTTGAGAGAACTCAGTCCATGGACAACACAAGGTGTCCATTTATAGGTAGGAATTGAAGGTATGTTGAAGATTACATTTCATATCTGGAGAAAAGAAGGAATGTTCAAAAAATTGACCCTGTGATAGGCACTGAATAGAGAGAGACACATGATACTGGCATGGAGGCTGCCCACATGTGGCTTATAGTCCTACAACTGAGAAATGTAGAAGAAGGGCTTCATTTGGAAGTGCTTCTATTAGCTACGCCTCCACTGACTTATAAATCTAACACTAAAATGGATGTTAGATATTAGCTGATTGAACTTTGGTTGCAGTAACCTAGGAAAGGTTAGGGTTGAAAGCTACAGAATTTACCAAAAAGTGGGGCTGCTAAATTCAGCAAATACATTAACAAGGTTACAAAACTATTCTAACATTTAGGAATACAGCTATTTCCAAGGACCATTAAGCTCAGCAAAAACTTATAACAGGTTATTTTTATGTTTACTAGAGCCAGTTCCCTTGGGTCCTCCCAATGAGACCTATTCATTTGTTCATTTTGTATAGACACCTTTTTGCACCTGTTTTAATGAAGACATCTTTATTTTCTAGTTATAAAATTAACATTCTTATAGTTTTAAAAAATCAGACTATGTAGAATAATCAGAAGTAGAAAGTGAAACCCATTTGTAACCTGGGCTCATACATGGTTACAGTGCTATTTTGGCATATTCCTTCCTTCAAGCTGCCTTGCTTTGCCTACATATATATTATAAATTATTTATATAGTAATATTAACATTTATAAATTATTTTCGAAACTGTTTTATCTCTTTAAAAATAATTTATATGCCCAAGGTAAAATGAAAGGAAGCCTATTGATTGACACTGTGATTGAACCCAGGGTGCTCTATCGTTAGCTCCATCCCCAGCCTTTTTATTTTTTATTTTTAAGACAGGATCTCCTTAGTTGCTCAGGCTGGTCTCAAACTTGTGATCCTCCCGCTTCAGACTCCCGAGTTGTTGAGATTACAGATGTGTACCACTGAGCCCAGCAATTCTACAATTTAGACTAATTAATTCATACTACTTTCCTACTGATTAGTTTTAAATGGACTAAATGAATTTTTTTAAGTTGTAGTTGGACACAATACCTTTATTTCACTTATTTATTTTTATGTGGTGCTGAAGATCGAACCCAGGGTCTTGCACATGCGAGGCGAGTGCTCTACCGCTGAATCACAACCCCAGGCCCTAAATTAATTTTTTATATTGACTTTTTCCCCCTAGTGCTGGAGATGAAACCAAGGACCTCACACTGTCCAGGCAGAGCAATATACCACTGAGCCACCTCCCAACCTATAGAGTTTATTTTTTTAGAATAGTTTTAATTTATAGAAAAATTAAGAAGATAGTACAAAGACCTTCATATGTCCTGTACCTAATTTCCCCTTTATTAACAGCTTAATTTAGCATAGTGCATTTATTATTATAATTTATAAACCAATATTGTTGCATTATCGTTAGCTAAAATCTACAATGTATTCAGATTTCCTCAGTTTTCACCTAATGTCCCTCCTCTTTCCTGGGATCCCACTGCAGCTCCCACCTCCCAACGTATAGTTGTTGTCTCCCTAGGCTCCCCTGGGCTGGGGCAGTTTCTCCCTGTCCTTGTCTTGGACGATCTTGACAGGTTTCAGGAACCTGGTCAGGTGTTCTGCTCACGATTAGCCTGGGGCTGTGGGTTATCAGAGGTGAGGTGCCATCTTCATTACATCAGA